GAAACACTGAACATTTTCTAAAAAAGGATTTTTCTGGGAAGTACTACGAAGGAAAAGTGCTCGGATTGTGCTGATATAAACTTTAATGTTTTTGTATATTAAAAGTGGTACCTTTTATTGAACAAAATAAGTTTTTTTTTGTACTATATTTACAAATTACGTCAATAAAGATATAATCAAATCTTGTTGTAGGAGAGTACTTTTATTTAAAATTGTATTCTGTGATAAAGAAACAGTTGTTGCACATATTGTAGTTATTTTTCTAACTGTCTAAATCTTGAATACCCAAAGTGTGAAATTTTTTTATAGATTTTTGTTTGTGGTGCTATTCAATCAATAGCACCACATTGTATTTATATTTCGGTCACATATATAGATTCATATATAATTTATATTAGTTAATTTTCATATCAGTTATATTACTTAACTATCAAGTAAGTCAAAATTACTACAGTTTCAAAAGTTCAACTATTTGTTGGAAAACCAACTCTTACAAGTAATAATAGCAGTGTTTAGTAATGGCTTATTTGTTTTATTTTTACCTTAGAATTATCAATATAGTCTTCTGTTCTAGTAGAATGTCTATATATGCTTTTGTTTTATCTTTAAAAACATAAGAAGTAAAAAAATTAAAATTGCCTTTAAGTTACAGAAATAAAGAGTTTTAAAACAAGTTAACAAAGTCTGTTAGGTCATTTTAGAGTGAGATATTGTTCTGGTTTTTAAAAAATTGAACACAAGTATTTTTTTTTCCTCAATTTAAAAACATTTGTATATGCCTAATATTTCCTATTTCAGGACTCAAAAGCCTCAAATTTATCGAAACCAACACAAGCATACGTCACTAAGCTTAGAACAAAAAGAATCCATGTCATTTGCACCAAATCCTCGTGGTGCTGCACCCATACTTAACCAAGGAATGAGTGGCTTTGGTTATCTACCATATCCATATTGCAGTCCCTATAGCATAGGAATGGACATGCAAGATATATTTTCCTATTCAAAAAGGTACTCCCTTCAACACAAGCAAGGACAGTGGGGCTCAAACCCATCATCTTTAAGCTATGGTGTCAAGTCAGCCTCTAGATCTTTCAACAGAACCAAAGAAGCCATTGATAACAAAGTAGCCAACCAAACTAAGTCAGTGAATGAGCTCCAAGGAAGAGATCTGTCAAAACAACAGAGGTTTAAATAGCAGTCTTATGTTTTTATTTAAATAATTTCATATCCTATATATTTAATTTTTTTGTTTCTATGTTAATTTTTATGTTAACCTATTAACTCTATGACCTCCAGATTTTCTATAGGAGAGAAGGTATTATCGCTCTCATCATATTTTGTTACAAAAATAAAACTAGTGGATGAAATTGTTTAAAATTTGACAAGAACATTCCTAAAAGTATGTAGTTTAAAAAAAAATTTTTTTGTTTTCTGCTATTTTTAATAAAATTGTTATTTATTGTAGTTATTTGCACTCGAACTCTGAATAGTTCACCTGCGAGGTGATTTTTATATAAGGTGTAAAAATACTGTTTTTAATCTTACAGTTTTCACATTTCATATGCATAATCTCTAGAACCTGTTAACCCTTTCGAGATGGGTCATAGGTGAAAGGTCATGTCATCTCGTTTGTTGACTCGCATTCAAAATTTTATTGAACTATTATTTCATGAATTTATGTCAATAACTTTGGTATCAAACTGTAGATTATAATTGAAATTTTTGAACTATACACTACTCAATTTCTTAATTTAAAAGTAAGTATTGAAAAAAAAACATTTTTGTGTGTCATGTGGTATGTTGAATGCAGCCTTGAATCAAATTATATGCTTGTGAAGTCAGAATACTAAATCTATAGTTTTGTATGAATTAGAAACACAAATTACAGATATTGGCAAGCTAGAATATATAATAAGAAGGTTTTTATCTTCCAATTTATATACACTTCTATATATGACATGAATA